AATAGGACAGAAAATTCGTTGTTGTCGATGGAAGTTTTGTCTGTCTATGCATCTCACGGAGTCCTATAGACTGTAAAAGCAGAAAATTCAGAGTCTAGGAATCAGTCTAAAATAGCGTAAGTTGGGGTAACTTTTATTCAGTCAGTGTCAATTTTGTCCCACAGTCACAAAGTGATCAAAAGTGCTGACTGAGTTAAAGTTATCCCCACTTACGATACTCTAAAACAGCGGTTTCTAACCTAGGGTATGTATACCCTCAGGGGTATGTTCGTGGTGTTTTAGAGGTACGCGAAAAAAATTGAAATACCAACAATTATATAAACTTCAACCATGTTTTCTAATATTAGGGGTACAATTTAGGGAAATTCGCTGCCAAGGGGTAAAATTATCAAAAAAATACAACTGCTATTTAAATATTCCTATCTTACTGAAATAGAAATGCTTTCGTTTACTTCATTCGAACTTAAGTAATTATTCTTAAAGGGTTGAATTTTTAAGATTTTCGCAAACCTGACCGAGCACTTGCGGGACAATGGCTGTTTCACGTTTTCGGGGACATGCGTCGCAGGGCGCTTCAATCATAAAGCAGACGTTGCCCTCGTCCAGCGCGGCAAAAACTCTGAGAAAAACAGCCGAAAGTTTCGTGGAATTGATGCGTTGACCGTTTCGTGTCCAAGTTGCAATCGAGACAACGTTCAAACCGACTTCGGAGAAAACGGTCTCTTCTCGAAAAATCTTCGAACAACTCAATATGGCGCTGCTCACGCCTCTTCCTTTCACAAGCGTTCCTGTATATTACTTGTCTGTCGTTCGCGACAGACAAAAAGAGTTTCAGTGTTTTTATAGCCTGTTCCATGTAACCTCTATCTGCGAGTTGCGTATCGTCGGATAGTAACCGTCAGCTGTCCTACGACACGAAGAACTTTTCCACTAAAAAGAAGCAATTTCTTTAATAACCTGAGAACAACGACGTATCGTGGAGACTGTCTTAACCTCTTACTCTGTAATAACGAGTGGGAAAGAATTTCAAAGTGACTTTAATAAAAATACGAATATTACTTATTTACAGTCGAAGCGAAATACAGTAAATCATCGATTACTGTCCGAAGGCTCCTCGGCACTAAACGTTAAATATTTTATAGACTAATGGCCATATGAAGTTGAAACAAATATCATTGGCTTCAGAATTCCAAGCTCTATCGCTGTGCTAATTAAAAAGCTTCATTAAAAAGCCAGTGTTACACTTGGGGACCTCTCTTTGTCAGTGCTAAGACGAACACTCGTCGAGGTTTTACTGTATTGTTTTTCTGGTGTCGATATGCGTATCATCCTGTGAGAACGGGGAATTCCTTTTTCTTCCGGCAAACTATTAACAGTAAACCAGCCCTGGCCGAGTGCAGTCGCAAAAAAAGTCGTAAGAGAAGCGGTAAAGTTTTGAAACCACGCGAATATATTCTCTGGGATTCTAATACTGCGCGAGGGAAAACTTGTATATTTAAATTGGAAATATTAAAACCTTCAGGTACTTTGAAAATAGTCACTGTCGTTGTGCAACGTCTTTGGACGCTCTTACCAGACAGAATGTCGAAAGGTTATGGAAGATAAAAAGAATCGTTTTCTCGTCTTTTTATTACGTTTCGCTTTTCATTCTTCGTTGCACATTATTACACACGATGCCTGACATAGAGTAGTAAAACTGGGCAACTAGGTTATTCTACATGCAAAATCGAATCGAAAATACGGAATAAAAGGTTTTCGAATTTAAAAATCTGTTGAATACACGTGCAGTTGAATAGGAATTGGCTAACGCGTGTCTGTTCATTACATTCCGTTTCTACTGGATGTCACTAAAAATACATGCGTACTCGAGGAAATTTCCAAGTGGTTTATTCTTCTTGTTCGACTTACTTTTCCTTACACGTTTCCCTTTTCTGCAATCGAACGCGAGGAGTAGAATGGAAAGCGTAGAGATTGCATAAAATCTAAGGGACAGATTACTAAAAAACCTGTCGTTTCGGCTCCGAACTCGTTTCGTAGATTATGCTAATATTCGACTCGTTCCGCTCGTAATTGCTCAGATGAATCTGTAGCGTTCTCATTCAATTCGAGAGCAGCTATAGTGGGGGTCTCCTGGAATGTAAATTTGAATTTAAAGATCTTGTGTCTAGACTACAAAAAATCGTGACGGGTCGAAGAGACCGGTTTTGGGAATACTTTCGGTGATTAAACGAACCGTAGAAGATTTTCGAAGCCTGTTCGAAACAGTAAACGTGTTTTGATATAACAACGCTTTTTGTTATACAGGGTGTCTCAGATCGGATAGTATAACCGAGCAGGAGGTGTTTTTACGAGCAAAAATAAGTCTAAAGGAAGGAATAATTTCCTTTCTCGTTCGAGGTTTTGTTTTCGAGAAAATTGAATTTGAAAATTAATCCGAAACACGTGTATTTGTTGTGGTGGTAAGTAGAAACGGAATGCAATGAACAGACGCGTTAGCGATGTCCTATCCAATTGCACGCGTGTACAGCAGATCGCCAAATTTGAATCACTCGGAATACATTTTTTATGCTAGTAATTCTACTGAAAGAGAGAAGTAGGGAGGGAGGAGAATTATGTTACCTTCGAAAAGTTCAAAGTGCATCGTAGAACGCCACCTCGATATCGCGACAGGACAATAAAGCACCAGTCCGTCGTTGAAATCGCCAAACAGGTATCGATCCAGTTCTAAATTACTTCCATTGCTACCTAATTGTCACCCATAAATTGCTGTGCTCTCTTGGAAACACGGTAAATTGAGAATTGCCGTTTACAAGGAGACCGGATGAATTGTTCTCGCATCGAATCCATTGAAACCTTCATTTCTCCTTTTCGGTAAATCGGACAGGGGACGTTATTGAAGGAGCTACTTCTACGTTTTTTGAATTTTGGAACTGATACTTTTTATTGTCGTTTAATTATTAAACTATCTAGTTTGGTCATCCTGAAGGAAGTTACTCAAGGCTCGATCCAATGAAACAGAAAATGATACTGAAAATCAATTTAGCATTTGGATATCGCCATGACAAGTAATAGGTTAACCGGTTATAAAAGACAGTTTAACTGTTGATTGCAATTATTATATAGGAATTTGTAGAGTGGAGTTTTATGTTATCCTAAATCAACTTTATAATAATCTAACGAGGCGAATTAATTTGAATATCATTCCGAGTAAAAAGTGTTGAATGAACATCGACCCTACTCTTCATAGTCAATTAAATTACAACAGTTGCGAGTTCATATGAATAATGTATTGTACATGTATTTACACCTTTATTATCATTCTAAAACTGTTACTGTACACAATAGATGTTTCGTATTCCTTTGTTCTGCGTTAATTCCTTGAAGTTTTATCAATATAACTACAGATAGATTTAAAAATATCGTACCGATATACAGTAAATCCTCGATGAGTGTTCGACGGCTCCAAGTTTCTCCGGCCGCCATTTTTGTGCACGTGTACGGAACGAAACAACACGGAAATGAACGGACATTACTGGAAAAAGTACTTAATTTCCGATTAAAGATCGCATATGTTGCTCCCACTAAGAAGAAACTTCCCCAATTGCTTTTTCTCCATTACTAACGGTGGACGAACTTCTGGACGCCCGCCAACTCGGAAACACGTGAAACCGTTCTTTTCCGTTTAATTGGTGAATTACGTAAATTTGAGTTAAGAAGTTCGTCACGGTCGAACTTTTCGAACGATCTGCGGTCAAACGCTTGCAGCTTGAGAAATTTCATATACTTTCCATTTCAAATCTGTTAATTCTTTTTTAACGATACTTTTCTGGTGAAACTGTCAAACTTGTAACATATTACCAATATTGTTAGGGCGACCGGAAAATACGGAAACAGATTATCGTTGAAATTTAAATATTAGAAGACTATATTGAGTTTAATTAACGCTTAGAAGCGTGGACTAATCGTATCATAAAAATTGATCGTTAAATAAATCATTCGGATGAATCGATTCACTGATGCTTCTAATGGTATTCTGGGGACGGGGTGTAACAGTTTTTATCTTCTGTACCGTATCATCGATTGCTCCGTCACCCCGAAGGTCTCATAAACTGTCAATTGGTTCATCATTGACAAAACGAGCCGCGTAAATTGATTCGTTGAGCAAACGAAATTAAGACTCCGTAAATATCGGATCTAAATTGGTTGGAATAATCACAAAAAATAATGGGGTCAATGTAATCATAGAATAATCTGTTGGAAGAATTTAAGAATTACTTTAAACTGCACAATTAAATTGAAAGAATTAATATAATCCCTTTCGACACAAGCTCGATCTAATTACAACTTACTTTAATTCATTTAGTTTTTACTCAGATGCATAACCTGTGAAGTTGTAACATATTTCTCGTTTTTGTTGACGAAGTTAGTATTAAGGTTGACAACGATCAAACATCGATCAAAGAATTTTCACTTTCTTGAACACTTGGTCGAAACTTATACATAAAATGTAACTAAAATCATTCATACAGGGTATAACATAAATGTTGTCCGACCCGGAAATGGGGCATTCGGGGGGTGAAAATGTTATCCAAGGCTTTGTTAATGAGATATTAACTAAAAAACCCCGCCCGATCAGAGCACGAGTCTGCCAGCCGAGTACGTTGGCTACGCGTTGCGATTGGTAGGATAATTACTTTAATCGTCGATGAAAAATTCTATATCGATATATTTTTTGTATCAGGCCTTTGAAACTACATACTTCTTGGCAAATTGAAGGGACCTTCAAACTTATATGGACCACATAAATTGAGATAATTGTGAAGTCCAGCTCATCTTTGTTTTCTCCTCGACGATACAAATAATCGTCTAAAAAAAAAAGCCGAATCAATTTGTCTGGCAGAAAGAACACTTGCGACGACTCAATTTATCCTGCTGATTAACCTCGATCCACAGAATATTTCCACCATGCTTGTGATATATTGCTTTTTTATTCAAATTTTATTTCTCGATGATATTACAAAAGTTCTCTTAACAGAAAATAGAGCTCGTATAAATACAAACGTTTTCTAAAAATGTATTCGGTGCAAGCTAATAATATATATCGCGATTGTATATATTTCTTACAAAACAAACGAGGTAAAGTATTCACAATCTAAATGCATTCGATAGACCCTGATCAGTTTTTCTGTCGATTGGAAATAGAACAGTGAGCAATCGGACAATGGATCCCTTCTAAATACTTCTCCTTCCAATCTTTCAAGTTTAGATTGCGTGAAATTTCTTTGAATGGACAGCTCAACGTTAAAAAAAGTCTTTATGTTATGTACATTTTCAAATATAACGATCTTAAGACACTTGGACCCCCATACTATCAAGCGTTGGCATCATAAACTTCCCACAAAACACGTGTCAATCTTTCCTCGACTTTGCTCCTCCAGTATTCTAATCATCGCTCAAACACCAGAGGCAACAATTCTTGCTGCCTAAAAATCTCTGAACCTCAGACGATTATAAATGAATGTCTCAGAATCTAGAAGTAATTGGAATAGTCGAATTGAAAAAAAAGTCCTAATGTGCATACACTTTAGTATCATTTGTAATCGAAACAGTGTTAGCAATTACAGATTTGCATCAAGCGTGCCGAATATGGACGCCATTAGTACCCATCCGTAGAAATATTCTAGTCAGAATTACTGTAACTCAAAAAATTCCCGATATCAATTTAGAAGCACTTTTGTATTCATGCAATAAGTGTCTTCCATCGTCTTTAGAATTGTTAGGGCCATACACGTTTATCCCCACGGTGTCGAGAAAGAATAACGACGGTCTTTTCGATGCATCATACTTACGAACATCCTGGCAACGACTCTCTCAATTAGGGAGCCAACTGGCTAATTTCTCCTTATTCTTGGCCAGCCATTTAATGTTGTTCGACACAGTTTCGAGTGCTTTCGCGCGGTTCATCGCGCCTGCCCCCGCGTCCGGGTACCTCGCGAAGAATTCCTTGATTTCGTTCAGCTTCGTATCGGTCGCGAAGGTCTTGGTGATCGTGGGGATCAACGCGCCGAGATTCCTGTCGTTCAGCGTGTACCTGTTCACCAAGAAGTCCCAATTGGACCTGACCCAGTCCCATACCAGCGGTGTGCCGACCGGATTCCCGGAGATCGCTGACAGACAACCGAAGAAGTCCTGGGACCGTACGTAATTCTGATCGGTGGCCGTCGCGATGAACTTGTTCAGGATCGAGCTGTCACGTATCCCGGCCAGTCCTCTCATCAGCTTCAGTTTCTCCGTTGAGTCGGTTTCGGCGATGAACCGATCGAACAGAACGTTCCACTTGGTCTCATCGCCACGATCATACATCCCCCAATAATAGGTCAGCGCACGGATGTCGGGATGCGGACGAACATCTTTGTAGTCTGCTATCCAGCTGTCGAACATCGTCCCGGCGTCGTCGAGACACTCTCTGTGACCAACGGAGCAGGCCAGTCCTAGCACCGACGTACGGAGCCGCAGGGTGATCTTATCCTCGACGCTGTCCACGGTCCAGGTGACTTTATGATAGGCGCTGTCGACCAGTTGTCGCACGTGTTTCTTGAATCTGGATGTCAGACTGGTCGACAACAACAAGCTATCGATGGCGGTCAATTTCGACTGGGCCACGAGCCAGGGCACGGCATGGGATTCCGAACGAAGGAATTCCGTCATGTTCATCGGGACATCGTAGTCGAGTTCCCCGGCGTCCGCCAAGCTGAACGCGTCCTCGAGGAGGTGAGCTCTATCGGACGCCGACAGTTGCTCGGGAGATGATGCGAGGATATTGGTCAGCACCAACCATTCGCTTAGCTCGTAATTAACGCGGTAATAGCCGACCTCGTTCCTGTTGAACTTGATCCACTTGATCGGTTCGCTCGGCTCGATCGTTAATTGATCGGCGTCCTTGTCGAACCACACTAGATTCGGTTCGGACGTACTACTCGTGATGTATGTAATCGGTATGGTCCACTTGTAACGGTACTCAGACTCAGACGGATCGAATTGAGCCTCCGGATCGGCCAAGAATCGCTTCTGCGTGAGCACGTATTTGTTGCCGGTTTTAGTTACGTTCACCACCGGGAAACCCTTCTGTCTGGTCCATGTGTCCATGATCGCGGTCACGTTCAACTTGTCCGGTGAGACAGACTCGAGGATCTTAAACAGATCGGCGGTCTCCGCGTTCCCGTAAGTGTACTTGATCAAATATGTACGGATGCCGAAGTAGAATACGTCGGGTTTGATGAAATGCTCCATCATTCGGATCAACGACGATCCCTGAAAGCGCGGAATAAGAATATGTCACGATATCGTTTCAGTTTGTGACACGTAGGGACCCTCGTGAGCAAACTCGGCTTCCGCTAGGAGAATATGTGACGTAGAAAAACCTCCTACCACTTGGTAAATTTATTTCAAGTACTGAAATAAAATTTAATCGAAATAAATGTTAAATCGATTGTCATAAATTACAGTTATTCCCGATAACAAGTGGTAGAAAGCCCTCCCCCTACGCCACTTTTTCCCCTAGTAGAAGCCGAGTTAATGGGAGGATATACACGTGAAAAGATAAAATAATTGGCGAGGATCTTAGATTGATATGATTCCATATTTTGAATGTAAACTTAGATTCCAATCTTTCGAATAATTTTGCTGTTCAGGTACGACCAATCCTCAAAATAACGTACCTTCTTGTACGATATCTCGTCAAATATGGCGGTGATCTCGTCAGGATTGTTGACCGTCTGAACAATCGGATGGGAGCTGAGTTTCGCGTCTGTCACGAACACGGTGTGCATTTGTTCGGTGATGAACAGATCCATCTGAAATGATGATTATGTAAAATAGATTCGCGAACGACCGAAAATTACACGACAGATTCTTGCGAAGACAGAATGTAACGCGTCGCTTTTTTAATTAAACGAACTTTAACGAGATCTACGCGTAATCTACGTGATCGTCTGCGTGTTAAAAATTTTTGAATTCATGAACTGACCCATCCCCAGTGCGGAAGTACTTCATCGGCGCTCTTATACTGCATGAAGGAAGCAAAGCCCTCGTTCAGCCACAGATCATTCCACCAGGACATAGTAACTGCAAAATGTATATAAGGATAATACAATAACACCACAAATTTACAATTCAACAATTAACCAGCGAACTGCATTTGTCCACCACAGTGGGCGCCTATTTTATCCTTTTAGTGACAATATTTGGAACATTTCTTGACAATCGACCGTACGAACCTTCTTTAAATGACATCAAAACATTAAGAAAATGGTGTTAAAGTGGCTACTGGTGCCGTCATATATATTGAGCAAACACTATGGTTATAAGAAACATGACAAAATAAAAAAAATTTTTTAAATGTGTTAAATAGTCTCAAAATTACTATTGGTGCTTGATTGTATAAAAAGAAATGTTTGTACAAGGTACCAAAAAGATGCAGTGAGCAGGTTAAAGATATGAAATAAAGGGACCAGAGAATGTGTGCGCGGCTCAGATATTCAACTGGCTATTTCGAAGTATGCTTTTTGGTATTTCGTTTATTGTAATAATAATACGCACCCAGATTCCCGAACCACATGTGCGCGAGCTCATGGGCGATCACGCTGACAATGTCGTAGGTGTTCGCGGTAGAACTGGTCTTGTTGTCGAATAACAGCCTCGCCTCTCTGTAGGTAACCAGTCCCCAGTTCTCCATTGCACCAGACACGAAGTCAGGAATAGCCGCCATATCTGGAAATTTCAAGTGTCCCAATACAATCGAACGAAAAAATCTCTGGAGGAACAACTGAAAAAATGGAACATCATTACAAGACACGATTATACGTAACTTTTCATCGTCAATCACAGAGCAAACGATCTTCCAAGTAACAACGAAGTTGAAAATGAGTTCCATTATCTAGGTATATTATATGGACTCCAAAGTCATAGCGTGTTAAGTCCATTTTCTTTAAAAAATGACGTTTCTCATATTTTCCCGTATCAAATTTTTCACTCTCTCCGATGGTAAAAATGATTTCGTTCCAAGTCGTTTAGTTATTAATATAATAGAGTAAAAGTTAAGCTCATATCTTAAAAAAATTTCGATCGAGCAGCCAGCAGTAAAATAATCGTGGTCCACCTCGTATATGTGGACCGTAAGATGGTAACAAATTTAATTCACCGTCATCTTACCAAGCTTCGGTAGTGGGTAACCGATGTTGAAGAGGGAAATATAATACTGGATGACCTTCACCGCTATATCAAGGGGAAAGGCACCCTTCTCCTTCTGCGCCCTCGTGGTGTACACGCTAACCGGGAACTGACTACCGTCCAAATTCTTCGCCATGCTGGTCACCGCAACAAAGTCGCTGACTATGAAACACGACAAGTACGTGGACATCGGCACGCTGTTCGCGAACGTCACTGTGGTCAGACCAACGGACGGCTGATGCACTTGGGTACTCTGCAAAACGCATTTAAATTATTTAAATCTACCATCACGTTCGTGAAATTAACAACGGATCGTTTACGCAAGGGGATGAAAATACCCTCCTCCAAAAATATCCTTTTCTTTTTTTTAACGGGGAGAAACCTTCGAAAGGCATACCGCCTCTGCTGGGAGGCAAAGACAGCCTGTGTGGGATTTTATCTCACTAAAACTGCCCGGTGACCCACTCGGACGTTAAGCCGACTGCGAGCATCCGTATACAACACATTTTCGCAGCCAGCTTTGCCCATGCTCTTCCCCAGAAGGGGGAAGGAATGGGGGGTCTAAGCCCCCCAGGGACGGAGTTTAACCGTCCCTTCTCCCCCAACCCCCTCACCCCCCCAAAAAATATCCAGCTACTACCCCATATAAGGAAGAAAGGCGATAAGGTATTACAGAATAACGAGATGTTATTTACTTCAACGTTCATATTCGACAGAGCGCTGTAACAGTCTCCAGTCGGATGGACAAGCTTGACGGTGAACTCGGCTTTGAACGCTGGTTCGTCGAAGCACGGGAATGCCTGTCTGGCATAAGTCGGCTCGAACTTCGAGGTAGCTATATATCTACAAGAAAATACGCCCATCAAGTATATATATATAGTTTTCCATCCGTGGACAATTAATAGAACACAGAAGACTGTCTTAAGCTAAATAATCCTCACCTAGTCCTGTTCTGCGAATCTTTGTACTTGCTCGAATAGAATCCAACGATCTTGTTCGGTTGCAACGCTCCGTTGAACTTGAAGCTCAGATTGTACAGTCCCGGGTGCAGCTCCTCCTTCGTGGACACCACGAACATCTCGTTCTTCGGTATCGGTGTCGCGGTCACGATCTCGAAGTCATAGTTCGCCGAACGATCGTACGTCCTCAGGCTGGTGGACGTGATGTTCAGATCCTTCTGGTGAACGGCCACGTAGCTCCTACGGTCCTGGACATCGATCAGGATCGTCACCTCGCCGTTGAACGTGCCCTTCTCCAGGTCCGGGTGCAGGTAGACGTCGTAACGCAACGGCTTCACCTGGCTGGGCAGCCGGAACGACAGCTCGTTGATCGGATCCTTACTCATGACCGAGGTAGCTGGGAACGAAACAGATGTCGGACGAATGTTGAGCACGTAGTCCGTGTCCGTCGTACGGGACGATTTCGATAAAAGCCTCGGGGTCGCGATAAGACGGCGATAAGGTTGAAATATCGCGGGAAAAACGAACGAACGTTCCGAGCCCGGGCATTTTAGCGGGCCGACGTTAAACAGTAGACCGCGGATTTTGTGCATTTTTCAACGGGTCACCGAAACTGAAACACAGGAAAAGACGGACCTCCGTCAACGTGGACTTCATGGTTTTTCGTTCTTTGGTCAGATCGTTCACTCGGGTGACAAGGGTCTGTTTAATTATGGATTTTATGAATGAATTTGAGGAAATCGTGAGTTCTGCGTCAAGATCCGTGGTCTAGAGGTACTACTGGCAACTTCAGTACCGTTTGGATCTATATACAGGGTGAGCCATGTAAAGATGTTCTGAATCAACGTTAGTGGATACGGAAAGATTGTTCGGTTGAGCCGTGTACAGGGTGAAACAAAGAAAAGGGTTCGTAACTTCTGGGGTGGATAGTATTTCCCAAATGAAAAGAAGTCTTGATGAGCATGGATCGAAAAATCAATAGTTTCATAGTTATAAACAATTTTCTGATTCGTTTAGAGCGAGTGACTTTCTTGGTTTGGGAGCTATCGTGTCATGTGGGAACAATGGATTACCGTAACATTTCTTCTTTTCCTGGTTACAGAAGGTTTTCTATAATTCCTATTAGTTTTTTTTTACAATTCTCTTCATTGTTTCCATACGGTACGATAGTTTCCGAACCGAGAAAGTCACTTGCTTTAACCGAAACAAACATTGTTTATAACTTTGAAAATCTTAATTTCTCGACCCATGTTTATTAGGATTTTTTTCATCATTTAGCAAGTACTATGTACCCAGGAGTTATGAACCCTTTTTTTGTTTCACCCCCTATAATTTCAACCATCGACATTCACCATAAATACACTTCAGACAAGAACTACAAGATAATAACAATAACAATCAAAATATTTAATTTGTATCGTTGTCACTAAGGTATTAGCGATTAGGAATATCCAATAAAATAATATTAACTGTATAATTTCGGTAACGAGAGGCTATTCGAGAGAGTAACTTGTTGAAAAAAGCGATCTCGAAGTCAATTTCTCAAGTGTGTCAGTCCCGGAATACTTTCCAGTCCGAGAATTTTCAAATTTCCCGCCATTCGCGGGTACCCGGTCACGTAGGTCCCTCTGTTATGAACGGACAGCCCGAACGAAAGAGGACTCACAGTATTGGTAGCTGGCGGCTTCGACTTTCTGATCGAGTAGAACCAAGAACGTGGCCAAGCATGTGCAGACCAGGCTCAGAATCACGCAAACGCTGCAGGTGAAGCAAAGCAGACCCGTTCCACGTTGCACCCGACTCCCTGACGTTGTGTACGTGACGCCGCAATGACCAGCGCCACCAGAACCTCGTGTCGCAACCTTTGTCGCCATCTAGTACGCATCAGCCACCGAGAAATCCTCGAGTTCCCACCTGAAATTGTCCAGCAATTCTGGTAACGATATTTTTTTCTCGGAAATCGCTTCAGAGCTCGAAAGCGACGAAAATTTCTGGAACTTAATTTTACTTATTCGCGAGGAATATACAGAATGAGTTCAAGGCGGGAAATTTGAAATTAGATCGGAACGCACGAAGTGATTTACAAAAAGGGTTAGTATTCCATTCTACATTCTTGAATCTGTCTAGTAATTCAGCAGTTATTTAAATGTTTTTTGGTATAAAATTTGTTAATTAAACGTCGGTAGTATCGTTATAGATGATAACTGTTGGTAATAATTAGACTTTGGATGTTTATGCATTTGTAGCATCTCTTAACTTGATAAACTGCAATAGAATAAAGTTTTTCATAAAGTTTAATACTATTTATGCCGGGTGGACCTTGAAAGGTCACCAAGTTAGATTATTCTACCGCTAGCTGTTCGATTGAACACTTTTTGCATGTTTAACCCTCTGTGCAGACGTCATAAATAGAACTAAGCTGTCGTTTTTTAACCGTTTACGCGAGTGTGTTGCAGCTGATGGTTATCATTTTGAAAATCGTTTTAATTAAGGTAAATGATATTTGCGTAATGTTCTTTTTGTTTATAAATGGTGCCACAAATGCATAAAATCCTCAGTCTACTGATCACGTTTCGCGGTCCAAACTGTATTTATTATTTACTTACTAAGGCCTCCAGTACAAATTTCAAGATTCAAAATTGTGAATTCGCATAAACTTCCGCAGTCTACCGTTATTAGACCGAATCATCAAAATTTCCACGTGTGTTACATACATAGAAGACTTGGAAAATTACGAAAATCGATCGATAAAAAGCGCCAAACTTTCTTATAAGCTGAACATATCAGTAATTCGAAATTATTGGAGTCACGATGAGAATCGATTTTCTCATTATCGATACATTTATCCGACGTGCCAAAGTCTAGCGTCGTCACGGAGGAAATAAATATTTGAACAGAAACAAGATGTTCGCCGTCGAACCTCGTTCACCTCACTTCACGCCGACTCTTGTGTGTTCACACACGCCGCTGACGTATCGCGACTGTCGACACTGAATGGGTTCACACACCACGCGTTTATTGAATTATCCCGGTCTCTCGTGATTCCTTTTGTCCGATGTTGACCCCCGCAAAATTGAACGATAGTGTCGAATTGAACGATAATGGTCACCCGAAAAAACGTAAGCAGAAACCGGCTCGTTTCGCCGTTGATATATCAATCTGTCGTCGATCGACGCCCCGTTCCATCGTTTTTATAATGCGCAGTTACCTCACTAATCTCCACAATGATCGGTCGTCCGTGTTCATCCACCAACTATCGAGTTTCTTTTTATCGAGCGTCGTCGAGATAAGTTGGATCGTCGCTGGAAAACCCGGGGTCTACGTACTTCAGCCCAGGGTCGCGAGATCGATCCAGTGAAAGTTGGGTCCACAGCACACACTGTTGAAAATTCGTATAGAATTCCGTTAGAACTTTCCTTCCTGACTTTTCTGATGCTCCCACGAGCTGTGATAGATCAGCGACACACTGTTTGGGTTAGAGCTTGATCTGGAAATCGGTGTCGATTTCGCTTCGGTAACCGTCGGCTGTTATACGTCTGTAGATCGTCTATTGTTTCGTCCTTCGAATCCGAGTTTCACCGAGACATAGTTCAAGGATCCTCGGTTGCCCATTCGTGTCACGATTCACTTGTGTGTTTCTTCGAATTCGATAGCGATTAATTCGACTTCGCACTGACTCTGGAAGCTAATACAGTAAAATCTGGATTAGTACCCGAAAATTGGAACTGGAACCTCGGGTAGTTAATAAGTTGAAGAATTGATTCCAAATAAGAATCATCTTTGAAGAATTGATTCTAAATATAGAATCAACGCCGAACGTAGAAGAGGAGAGCGAGTGAAAAAGAAAGAGGGAATGACCGTCGAGGCGACGATAAAGTTTACATGGATGGATGGTTTTTAATGGAACTTTTACTAACATATTTGTGAGATTTTTCTGATTAAAACAAGACTAAATACGAGATTATTTTGAATGATATTTATTTATTAATATTGATTAAGTGTCATAAATGATCAATAAGTAAATATGATTCCAATTATACAGTGTTTGGTATCATTTTAATCAGAAAGATCACACAAATACGTTGATAAAAGTTTTATTGGAAAATAATAAAAAAACCAAAATTTGCATCGTTGCATTTGTGTTCTCTCATCGACACGCGAGTATGTAATCTTTCTTCGAGGAGGATCCCTTTCTCCCCCTTGCCACATACACTGAGTGCTTACGTTTAGATTGTTTGCGGGTATTAATCCAGATTTTACTGTGTATCGTTTCTAGTCGTTGTTGTCATTACTGTAATGCTCGTTAAATCATTGAGTTGATATAAAAAAAATTGCAAAAGTATTTCTATACAGTGCGTTCAAATCTGACCGCTTACGATTGAAAACAAAAATACAAGATAGTAATAACACCTTGAAAAACATCCCTCAACACGGTCTGAGTGTGAATTCAAGGTGGCGGTTAGATTTACTGCGCTTATAATACAAGGAGCAACTCACTTTCTTCTGAAAACAATATGAAAAAATCCGGATCCGGAAAAGATCTAATTTTCAATTTATTAATATTATTATCATTTAAAATTCGACTTTAATAATTAGAAAATCTTTAAAGTGTTCATTCATTGGTGTGTTTACCCTAACTAATATCACAAAAACTAATCGAATTGGATACACTGATTGGTCTTTTTATTACCTTCTTGTATCTTTCGTCGTTCACGAACGAAAGTCGGCGGCCGTAAAGGGTTCTTCTTCCTTGGATTATCGAACGAGAACTAGAAACTGGCAGCAACGCCGGTCGCACGGTGACAAACTGCTTGTTCTTAATTGGATGCAACGCGGAGACGAGCCTCGTGCAAATTCTCCGGTTAATTGGGCCGAATTACTGATGCGCAATTCCTCCGAGGTTGATCATCAACCGCGTCGCGACATTAAGAGAACCAGGCGGGGACAACCTACACGCTCCGCGTTATCGAAATCGATCATAGTGGATCCACGGTTCGTTTCTCGACGGAGAAATATTTGAAGTTCGATGGCATTTATTCGTGTTGGAAAACAGGTTCGTTGGTGCAACGGTTTATCGCTGACACGTGCCTAACGAGCACCTCTTATGAGTAATTGCTGCAAAGCCCCGTCAATTGTAAAGTATATATGGGGACCGGAAAAAGTTCGTGTGTGGCTTTTTGCTGACACACGGTGAACTTCGAATTGAATTTTTACAAGAGAACACCGCGAACGCCGACGTGTGAATTGGAATTAAAACTTTGTGAGTTTATAGAATGATTCAAGACAAGAATAACGGTATGTTTTTGTTCGTGCCCAATCACTCTTTGAGGGTGTAAAAACTAACCTTTCGGGGACACTTCTCAGAGACAAATCGTATATACGGTGGATCGGGATGCCAATGAAAGTCACGTGTGTTTTCTACAGATAACAATAATTTATTTATAAATACATTGAAAATTGTCGATATTGTCCATAGTAAAACGTACGTATGTAACAAAAAAAAAACGACAGTGTTGCGACGTTTTTCAACTAACCACGTGCTATATCCCCTACAAACTACGCTTTCAGTGTTTTCTCATCGTTTTCGTTTATCCTTGTACACGGACTCTACGAGTCGAAGGATATTCCGCGCCCTGGGATCAGAAACATTCGCTCGGGAGATCAGAATTTTAACGATACCGTGACTCACTTTATCCGTCATTAAACGGTGTATTTCCTTTTATACAGAATAATGTACCTGGTAGCAATTCAACAACTGGATCTCCGTCACAGTGACGCGAAACAGAAGGAACAATTTAACACGTTGAATGCCGTGGGGTCACCGGTGACCACCTCTCTAGAGTATACTTCTCGATATTATTAATATTGGACCATAAATCGGTAAACTTCTAGAAACTAAATGCCAAAAGTATGATAACATAATTGACTTTAATAATTTTATATAACATTCTATTCTTCATACTTTGTGTAACGAAAATTTCACTTCGACTCTGTGGCTGAAATGTACGAAAATTATGCAGCATTCAACGTGTTAATTGTTCGCCTGTATTATAGGGTGTTTCGGTAATTATGAAAAGAATTCGAGCACTCCGTTTCGAACGTCAGACGTTGAAGTCGCGAATGTCGTTATTGATAAGCTTCGAAATCGATTTCCGGAAGCCAATTATCATGAATTGAATGGATCGATGCAATTATCAAGATAATGTTCATATTAAAAGACACAGAATGATATGATAACGGTCGAGTGCAAGAGAGGGAGCAAGATTAAACGAGTAAGTGGAAGCGCGACTGTTTGTCGTCAGACTTGTCGAACACGCTTGGTACAACAGCCTTTCATCAATATCTCTGTAACATTTCATATGTACATTTTCTATTATATCGTATCAGATGGAATCATGTTTGTAAATATTAGGTTTAAAATGTCAATATTTACGAATATGATTTCGATGTTCAGTTTCAAAGAAACCAGAAAATAAACAACAAATTAAATCCTTCTGTCTCTGACACCGATCAGATAATTGTGGAATTAATCCATGAACAATCATCATTTTTTTTGTTTGTACATGCATTCCGATCAGGCATAATTTATAAGCAATATTCATATTATTCTCGTCAGGCTATGCAACGAATCACGATAAATAATTTTAATATATTCCCATCAACGAACTCGATTCTTTCTCACGGAACACCCGACGCCCACGTAACGTACAGATTCTGTATAAAGAAAATAATCCACGATGAATTATTTGCGTATCAAAGATGAGCAAGATTTATTGTCTAAAATCAAAAGTATCCAATAAAAGAACAACTCGTTGTCTATGAATACAAAAAACGCTAGATTTCTCGATTATAATAGTAAAGTAACAATTCGCTTGTAATGCAAACGTCATAATGGAACAACGATACACATTTCTTCTATTCGTCGCCTGTAAATAAAATTGTGCCCATCTCTGGCATATAGTATACACACATGTACGTTACCGCTCACAAGTATTCGCTCTATTAAAGAAACCTTCTACACACTTCTTCGTATTTCACAGTTACACATTGAGAATTTTCCAATAAATGATCGTGGATCCCTTCTCTTCATAGGTCTTACTACATCAAAAAAACTATAAATTATACCAGTCTGTAGTCCCTTATCTTTTCCCAAATTTTTCTATTAATCTTAAATACAATTTGAAACTCTCTGCTATCATAACAGAATTTCGTTACGTGTTTTCATCATTCGCCGTCATTTTGATTGACCAGAACATTAGAAATATATTCCTAATATAAGCTGTACTTTTCCCTGCACTTGAACCACAATTGATTATTATTCATTATATTTATTGGTACACCTAAGAGTTTCTCCGAAAAATTTACTGCACCCCTTCTGGCACAGCAGAAAATCCACGATAATATGAGCGAAAACTTACGAGCGATCCCGTGCACGTACATAGTTTCCAGTAATTTATCGAACGTTGTAAAACCTACGATCACCAAAGATTGTTTAAATAAATTATATACACATTCTCCCCATCGTTCTTTTTTCTCCCGTCTACGATAATCAGTCGAGGACGAATGTTCGCGAAGAATACTACCATGGACGCCTGAAAGAATTCGCCGTCACGTATTAAACACGCGCTCAACCAGGTCCCGACACTATTTTTTTCCCCCGTTGTGATGGGGCACAAGGACCTGAGTGTCCCTTCTTTTATCATGGCGGAGTCCCACGATAAGAACCCGCGTCGCAGCCCCCCTGAAAATTCCCTGAAACGCGTGCCTCGAAATAAATTACATTAATGTACAAATCCGAGAACAGGGGGGGAGGGATTTCGGACGAAAGACAGAGGTCACCGTGACAGCAACGTACGTTTCCAACTCATAAATATATTAAGGACACTTGTCTAATGTGCTGTAAATGTTGCAAAGCGTTACGAAATTACTGATAAAGTTCCGAACGCAATATTCTTCAACGGGTTGACGCCCATTGTCGAAGATCTGCACCACGGGCGGAAACTTGAGACAAAAGAGGCGAAAAATCGGCCACCAATGTGTTAAGGGAGCTCGACGGATAATGCTCGTCCTACCACGAAACCTATTAAAACTGTGGCCTAAACTATACAATTTTGTATGGAATTATTATATTGTTTTCGTTACAAACTAGCTGTCCCCATAATACTTATGGCTGGTAACGTACAATTGCCGATTCCCCCTGACCCCTCCCCCTCACCCCGTGGACATCTAGAAGAAATCAAGTTCCCTTATCTTTCTCTTTTTTTTTTTACAAGAATCAACGTACGAAAGGATTCGAAACGTTCTCGCGAATAAATAAATAAAATATTACACGTTAGGAGGATAATTAGACGAGATAAACGAATGATAAATTGGTCGCGGATGTTTGTGCAAATATCGATTTTCGTGGATTGATCGAAAAATTGAAAAGTCCAATGGGAATTTGATAGCCCTACTGAGGCTTCTAAGATTTTACGTAAAAATTTATCTGTACTTTATTAGAAATTTCTTCTCTGAAATTGAAAAAGAAATCCCTTTTTTACTACGTCATTAGAAATTTGCTTATTCATCAGAAATATGCGTAAGCAAATTTCTGGTGGAATTTTAAGGATTATCGTTGTTTTCCTTATGAAAATCCTCCGAACTTTTCAGCGAGTGCTTTCTAAAGATCACCGACCCTAAAAGGATTCACAGAAGTTCTACGAAAAGTCGTCGATGCTGGATTGTCGCTTTCCTTTTGTTGGGGGAAGGGAACGATTGTCGAAGCGTCCGATTCGCTCGCTCGGTGATCCTCGATCGCCGTCGATTTACATTGTACGGTTTAATTGACTTCGGTCCTGGCAGCGGTGATACCAGCTCTAGTTATTTACACACTCGAGCCTGATCTCGCGGAGGACACAGTTTGATGGAATACGAACGAACGAAGATCGAGCTCGAATCCTCTGGCCAGATCATTCTCTCGGTCGGATGCTGCCTGTTGCTTCGAATCGCGAGAATGCTTTTTCCACGATGCCTTTTTTGAATGTGAAAATGTCAAATCGAAAATCCAATAATGATCCTTCAACTGCGAGTAAACTTCGAATTTTCAATCATTTATAACGACCTCCTAACTCGTAAAATGCAACAAATAAAAATTTTCAATAATGTTCATATAGTACAAAAAAAAAATTCGGTCTCATTTGAATTTTTATATATTAGTATCTGAAATTGTAAATTTGCATAAACTTCCGCCGTCCAGTAATAACTATTGAGTCACGAAGATGTAAATTCTTTTGCTCCTGTTCGTTATTTTATCGTAAAATGGAATGGTTACAGGAGGCGAAATATAAATTGAGAAGCAGTTTCATTTCAATATAAATTTCAGTTAAGTTTTCTCTAATAAACAGGAAGTAATAATAGTTCGTCGTGTCTGTGTTGTAGTATGGATAATAAATATCTCGACCAAACTAGAACCATTCCGTGGCCTGTCTAACCACCAACGGCATCATTCCACTTTCCTTTGCATTTTAATAAATCAAGTAAAAAGCTGTCCTCCTTGAGTCACAAAACGTTCTGATATAACTTAATCTGTCCTGTATATTTCCGTATAATAACAACTTATTTTTGCAAAATTTGTCTGAGGTATTATTTTTTTGGCTTGTCCGACCACTGATGGTGTCATTTTACTTTTTTAATTGAGAACTGAGACCAATAAAGAAAATCTTAAGAATTTTAAAATTCAGTGTAACTGTCATACATTTTAACGTTTCATATAGCTGATTCAATGAAAACAAATTTGTCTTGTTTATAACGATATAAATGACAAAATAAACGAACTTATTGAAGCGGAGAAGTTTCTCGATTTTTTTCACACGACCGCAGACTGTTAGCACACTTCGAAGAAGTGGTAATTTTGTCAACTATCAATTTCTCATGTCTGGCCGCAGATTATAGCATTCTACTGGAACGTCGAAGAAGCATTCGCGCCGATTCCAGCTCGACATCATCGTCAAGAGCCACGCTTCCAACGATTCCATGCGCCAAAGTGCCTTCACTTTTTCTTCAATACTAACGAACCAGTCGATCAAGCGATATACAGTTCACGTGCTTTGGTTTGCGATATAGCTCTACGTCGCTCGGACTGCATCACGCGCGATCGGTCTCGATAACTGCTCGCGTCGACCGCGAAACTGGCGGCGTTCGTGCAGTTCGAGCAGGCTTAATCGTTCTAATTATTCAAACTACCATATATACTCGATAGAATCGTCTCGATATACCCGTCGGAGAACTGGAATAATAATAATCGCTCGAAACGATAACACGGAAAAAAGGCCACGAATTAATTTTCGATTCCGCGTGCGCGAAGAGAGAGAGAGAGAGAGAGAGAGAGAGAGAGAGAGAGAGAGAGAGAGAGAGAGAGAGAGAAGTTAGAACAGTTGTGCAATTTCGGATCGAACGTTCGAAAACCTAATTACGTCTCGCGTATATCTCTATTCTGTCTTTTTTTTTCTTTACCTCTTTCTAACCGCGTACACTCTACACACACTTTGACTTGTACCACCCGATATCGATCGTGTCGAAGAAACGGGTCCATCGTTCGAGGAAATCCGACGATTCGCCACGGTTCGTAGACTATTCTCGATTCAATCTACGTTTCTTTCCTCGCGCTCCTCCTCTGTATTTATCATCGTTTCGGAATACCGTGGAATCGTACGATTCCTCAAACGATCGACCGTTTATCACATTCGTATAACAAAATATTAATTGACGTTGCGAACGATTGGATCGTCTTTCTATCGATATACTGCGGATACGGTTACCGCGGAACTCAACGGAACACGTTATCGGCATCGTGTTGCGCGATCGGTTCGAGGAAGCACGATCGATTTAGTCGCTCTTGTTTATGATCTCTACTTCCTTGATCTCCTCGGGCTCCATATCCGTGTCGCCCCAACCCCATTTCGCACCCTCGTGACTGTGCGCGTGACCGGTGCCCTGTTGGTACCTGTTGACGAGACGAAGAGGACATATTTCATTTCTACGGCTCTTTTCAATGCGTTGTATTTCTTTTCGGAGGAATTGTCGTACGGTGGAATGGCACGCTTGCGTTAGAGGATTTGCACCTTGGGTGAAAAATCGTAACTCTATTCGAAACTATTTTACACTATCATTTCATTATCCCACCGTTCGATCTCTTTTCTGTGTTCCATCGTAATTAAAAGACATAAATAGCAAAGCAACTGATAAATTCTAGTGACCTTCAGGAATCTGCTACTATCATCTATTGTTCGATTGGTTTTCTTCTTCGTACTTTGAACTACAATACAATCGATCTTTATCAGTCTAACCAGTAGTTTCGACACACGTTGGATGGACACTTACCGGTACCGGACAAAATTACAGCAACCAGACCGTAATAATTCATTGAAAATCAATTTCTTTGGCATTTTCTGTGTTAACCTATCTGCATCGTTTGGAAAAAAATAAATGAGAAATAGGCTCTTAACACGGACTTTTTTAAAATTAAATTTAATTACAAATATGTCGTCAAGTAACAAAGTGTATGGATCTTAGTAAGATTACTAACATTCAATGAAATCCATGCTTATCGTTATTTAGTACAAAATATGCTTAAGAAATTAATCTTCAAAGAATAGTCACGTTATGACAGTTTTGTCCAGTACTGTACGCGAAGATAACATTCACATTAGTAGTTCTTTCGCGTTCAATTAGCGAACCTTTATATTAAGAGTCTATTCTTAACATTTTTCGGTGAACTCTTCAATCTTTTTCAAGCTCTTGAAAATGAATTTTCAGATTTTTCTTAATATCTTGAAAATGAATTCTTAAATTTTTGCTTAAATGGTGGAAAATGAATTTTCAAATTTTTCGTATGGTCATAAAATTGAATTCTTTTGAAAATTTTCACTTCTAACAATATTTATGTGAATCTTGGGATCCTTTTTGAATTGCTCGAGTAATTAATAATGAGTCGATAAGAAATACTATCTAAAATAACTCAATACTTATTAGTTCTATCAGAAAATGTATCAATTAATTATACAACATTTTAAGGGACGCATCGGATGGATACAATTTGATTTCATTATATCTTATTTCATTTTTAGATATCAAGGATGACCTTGAGTTTTTTCAAGGTTAATGCATCTTTTTAATACCATCATGTCATAGATCATTGAATGCGTCCTACCATTGGCAACAACGTGGTAATAAAAAAAGATGCATTGACCTTGAAAAAACTGAAGTTTTTCTAAGTACCCTCAATCCGACTTTATACTCAATATTCTATACTTTAAAGTAGTCTGTTAACTGAATATTTCGTACTACATATACTGTATATTCCGTATTTCTCTCGTGTAACAAAACGGACTTTCCGTAAAATAAATTTACATTATTCGTATTATTATTATTAAAGGAAAGGAAACATATAAAGAAATCATATTTTATCTATCTCATCCGTCCCTTAAAATGCTACACAATTCATTAAAACGTTTTCTGATACAATCAACAGGTAATGAGTTATTTTATATAGTAGTTCTTATTGACTCACCCTGTAGATGATGTTACGCAAGGAGAATATTAGAGTTAAGTGGAAATGCTCACTTGGATCCGTCGCCAGTTCGGGCGGCCCGTTTCTTCACGACCTCGACGGGGACGGTTTTCATGTCGTACGCCCAGCCGATTCGGGCGCAGAGATCGATGAAAGCGGTGGTAATGTTCGTCCTGTAGTTTCCAAGCTCGGCCGCTTTGTAGTCCCACGGGAACACGTGGTGGTAATTGTGCCAGCCCTCGCCGATCGCGCAGATCGCCACGCTGATATTCTCGGTCGGCCCGATTGTGCTGGAAATTCGAGCAAAATTTTGTCGATCGGTTCGATAATAATAAATAATTAAAGCGATACGTGGGTATTGAACTGCTAAAGTGAACGGTTTCTGTTCGATTAGATGAAAAAACGACTTATTTGCACGTTTAACAATTCTTTACCATGGATATAACACGTATTTCAATATCACAAAAAAACCTTGGAAATATTAAAAGTTAAGCGAAATACGAAGCGTTAAAGTGGGCCATGCGTGTCCAGGTGGTTCAACACGACGCCAGTTGAATAATTCATTCGAACGCAAAATCGTTGTAAACGTGTATTCTCTGGGACACCAAATCTACAAGGTGGAACTCGCTGATTATGATCGTAAAACCCTGACAAAATTGTTATTAAACTATTTTTATTGGGAATTATTTCAGGAAAAATTTACGGACTTCATAGACGTTGTATATACATATATAACTTCGTGAATGTTTTAGTAAAATTTTTCGACAATCTTCCACCTTGTAGATCTCGAGCGATAAATGTTTCGACAATCTTCCACCTTGTAGAACAAATGAGTTATTCAACTGAAATCATGTTCTGTAGATTTTGAACACTCATTTAGTTATTCAATAGTATATTCATTGAGTAGACTCAGATTTTATTAGGTTGTTACATAATAACACTGTCGTTTTTAAATTGCAGGGTTTGAACTATTATGACTAATTCCAAGACAAATAACTTTTTTTCCATCGAAATAAGATGAACAAATCGACGCACTCTTACCAACGGGGTAACAAGCTTCTATGATCCCATCTTTAACAATTTCAATGACATTTTTTATGTAACATGAACCTAATATTTTGATAATTTTATATATTATTTACCTGTCGTAAGGCTTCATTCCCCAAATATGCGCAGCAGAGTTCACCAGCCACGTGAGGTTCAAGGACAATGTATACCTGAACATGGTCGAGTACCACGAGTTCAATGGTTTCTCGTCCCAAAAGTAACAAGGCACCCACATCGGTAGGACGAATGAGCAGATCGGCATCAGAATAATGTACAATCTACGAGGAATCAAAAAGAGAAAGGTTCGAGAGACGCAGCGGTTTTCAGGCAATTATCGTTCGGCTGCACCGAACCATACACAAAAAAGGAGAGCAAGTACTGTTTCGACTGAGTACTCTCTTACAGATCGTTGAAGAACCGTATCTTTTCAAATTTTAATGACATTTCCGCGAAACGTCATACGCATTCTTTTTCTTCTTTAATTTCTTCTCGATATACACGTCATCGTTCGCAAGCCATTCGCCTTCGAATCGAACGAAATCATTCGTCATCTTCGAATTTCACTTCGAGAATTCTCATAACAAGCTATCAGAAATGCACAAATTCACGATTAAACCGCGGACCTTAAACAAAATTCCGATTTTCTCGGATTAATTTACCGAACCGAAATTATGTCAGAGATTTCTTTACTAAAGGTTGGGTCCAACGTAAAAGTAGAATCTCCACTAATCTTTACGATAAACTTTCACATATATATTCTCACTAGAACTACCAGCATTGGATGTACGCTAAGTTACATTATATAATATATTAATGGGTGTAGTATATAATGCAATATAGCTTAATTAAAGGTTAATGTAAATTCCGATGAAAGTATCTCTGGGGTTTCAGTAATTGTAGAATAAAAAAATCTGCAAATTCCGTCATTTTTACGCGTTCGGTGGTTCTAGTGTTAAAATTCGTGGTCTATTCATGACCAATCGATTGAAAATAGAACAAATTCTTTCTAGAAAACGTGACGATTTTAATCGCGAGTGAAAGAAAAACCGTCGTCGCGAAGGCAACTAGAAGTCTTTAGAAGATATACTACGTTGGAATACTTCGGAAGAAATTGTGTGCTGTTTTCTACCTTCTCTGCCAGACCACGATCGGATCCTGTTCCAGATCGCTCATGTCAACGGTGGCGCCTTTCTTGATCACGTCGGGATGCTTGCGCAGCAACAGCCAGCCCATGTGCGAGAAGAAGAATCCACGTTGCGCGTTATGCGGATCGGCGTCCGTGTCGGTGAACTTGTGATGAACACGATGATCCCTGACCCACTCGTAGATGTGATTCTGCGGAGATTTCAAAATTTAAAAATCCCACCCCGTTCTCGAGACGATTTTTTTAGGTAGTGGTGAATTAAAGAGATATTCCCATTCGGAGTGGTAAAAAAATCGATTTTTTTATGGTATTTTCTTAACTTGAAAATGTGTTCCCAAAATGGTATGCTTCAATGCGTTGATATGACAGAACAGACGTTGATTATTTAATGTAACATTAGTAATTTTTGTCCGAAAACATTTTTCCGGTACTGTATATCGCACATGTTAAATCTCTTATGGTAAAATTGAGCAAATGGCGATCGTTTTCGAAGTTAAAGGGTTCAAGTTTTCGTGATCCACCTATACAAGACTAGAAGAAACTGTTACAGACTCACAGATAGGAAAAATACTTGATAATATTATTTAATTTTGTAATTTATAATACATAGCCATATGGCTACAGTAACTACGATGAAATCGAATGGTTCCTTTACATTTTAAAGTCAAGTTGATTATTGTGATGTTATAATAAATACATTGAATTTATCGTAGTGTGCAAATGATACTTTTTCAGATGATTATTAATGAAAGAGGAAAACAGTGTTCTAAGGGCTTACTTGGAAGGCGACCGTTTGGCACAACATCAACACCAATCGCAACGGCCATTTTGCTTTGTAGGCCCGATGAGCCCATAATCTATGAGCGCCGGCTGTAATTCCCACTGCTGATGAGATTCCCACGAATAACACTGAAAAAAATACATTGTTTTGTGTACAAAGAACACTATTCTGTGATATTCAGCCAGATCGCGATTCCCAGTACTTTCGAACCGCCCCTGGTAGATTCCAAGAAAAATACTTACTCGATTTTCTCCAACTCATTCTGCACGGAATACTGTTCTAAAAACGGAACTAAATTGAAACGCAAGGATAACAAAAAAATGGCTATCGATGCACATCGATCGAACAGTCGAATCGCGACTCGAATGATTCAGCGTCGATGAACTGTTGCCACAAGCTCATTCACACGTATACACACACGGTGATTTCTACCAGCAAGAAAGCAGTACCATATGCTGCGTCGACATTCCGTAAAAATGCGCTTCCTTACAATCTAATCAGGACAACATTCTCGCCAGCTGTTGAGACTTTAGACGGTGGAATAACTGATCCGCGGATGGCCCGTTCTTTTGTCGTTTAGACGATGAGAAGAGACTAAATACAAGAGTTCATGCCGATTTCTATTCGTAAACTTGTTGCTCTTCTCGAATCCCGACCCAGTTACCAGTCCTTCTCTCGTTAATAACTGTAATCGCATCGGAAATAACGATCGCCACGGTGGCAAAGGATCAAGTTCTACCGTGGGATCCGCTTAACCACCAAGCATAATCACTTTCGAAGCCGATTTCAAGGGGAGGAGAAGAGATGGCACATGATCCACCACGCGAACAAACCGAAGGCTACGTGTGCTACCTTTATGCTACTTAATCGCGGAATTTATCATTTATGCGCGGTTTCTACATTCTTCGGGTGAAAAGAAAACACTGGTCGTTTCAGGTTGATGTTGATAATTCGGAATGAAACACGGTCCCCGATAACATGGCCATTAGTTCTATAGAATATCTCTTCGTAACTGTTCTTGGAAAATTCTTGAAACGTTCAACGAACATAATGTGAATAAAAATTGGCTTTAATTCTAATAATTCAACTGAGGAACGACGAACACCGTAACACTTTGACTGCCACGTCACCTAAATGCATATAGGTGAACACGACCCCCAAGGCATTCAACGTGTTAATACCAAAATGAATACATTGACTAGAAATAATATACAGTTTTCTGTAAAAATCGTACGCAAATGCATACATTGACTAGTATCTGTATACATTTACTAAACTTCACGCTTTTACTGTGACAGATGCACGAGAAATTCTTAAAAAGAATAATTCCGTGACGAAGGCATTGAAATTGTGGAACATTATTAACGCTCGAAATCAGTTATTCGAATATATGTCAGTGGAGACACTACGGATAACTGTACAGTGTGTTGATAAAGATGTGGTACACTTTCACAGAGTGGATTCTAAATGCGAAACCAAGATGATAATCAAGAATGACGAAATTGCATCCGAGGCTTCGTTTCCGACTTATTAAGTGTTGAAAATATGGGCGAAACACGCGTGAAATACGTCTGGTTATATCACTCGAATAACCGATTCCCAGCTGATAGACGGACACGATCGATGACCCAGTGAAACTAATGAATGAAATAAAATGAAATGAATGAAATCTGCTCGTGAAACAGTGGTAGAGCACGCCTCTCGAGTAGAATAACCGGTCGTGGCACACGTAATTAATAACTTGATTGTCGTCTTACAATTAATCCAATGGTCGAGTCAACTCGTCGTGCACTGTCCAAGGATTAGTAATCACCGTGAAATTCGAAGTTAATCGTAACATGTACAGGGTGAGTCAATAAGAACTACTATCTAAAATAATTCGTTATCTATTGATTGTATCAGAAAACGTTTTAATGAATTATGTAGCATTTTAAAGGACGAATTGAGTGGGCATAATTTTTTTATATCTTATATTTTTAAGATATTAAGATGACCTTGAGTTTGTTCAAGGTTAATGAATGTTTTTTTTAATACCTTTACGTTATATGTAGGTGATAAGACACCTACTTAGGCTAAGTCACGAATTTAAAAATATGACAATAATATACCCGTAATCTCTGATCTTTTTTGACAATACGTACACGTATGAATTTGTCTAGAAGTCTCACGGTGACCTTTGCATATGGAAAGTAATTGGGGTCATCCTGTTAGGCGATTCAATCGTTTCCTTGGACGTATACTCGAGACATACCAGAGTTAATTAACCAAACAGACGGAAATAGAATGTAGATATCTTTAGTTGATATACAGCGAATCTACTTACTCCATAGAAGCGTGTTCAGCTTCGTGTCGACGAAGAATAGGTAGAGCCCGTATAACGCACCGATGTGAAGGTAAAGAAAAGCGATCACATTTCTCCAGACAATATTCCATTCGTACCGTGACTGGGGGCTGGACGACGATTTCTGTACGATCAATTTCTGCGTGCTCGCCTTCTCTGTCGCGGTTTTCTCCTGATGGACGTCCTGCTGTGAGGCCTCCAGATAGAGCGTTGCCGACGTACCGAACAGGTTCGGCGCCATTTTTAAAATTCTGGAACAAACCATTCGAGAGCTGAATTTAAAAAAAAAACCAGAATCATTGCATTGTCGCGTATAAAATAGTTCTCAGTTTTTTTTATAAAAGAATGTCTCGTTGGAAAGACGGGATCCTCACAAGAGCAAACTGGACTTCGGAAAAGGCCTGCTACCACTTTTGGTCTTGGGAGTTACTGAAATTTATGCCAAAGTAACATTCAGTTTAACATTTATTTCAGTACGTGAAATAGTGGTGGGAGGTTTTTCCCATACTAGAAGCCGAGTTTGCTCGTCAAGTTTACACACGAGCGGTCGAAATTGATTTCTATACTGGGGTCGTTCCACGCGAAATCGGACACGTTTTGGAGTAACATTTCGGATCTTGTTGACACTTGGATGTGTTGTGGTTCTTAGTGGTATATAAACGTATCTCGAAGGATTTTTGAAAATTGTTGATTTTACATCTGTTTGACGTATAATGTCAACGTTGCTTCGATAAATCATAACCGTTGAACTAACAAACTGATCAAAATGAGCTTAATGGGTGCTTACATTACAGACGCAAGACTACTTAATAAAAATTATTTCACTTCAAAAAAAGATTTTTTAACCATTTATTTGGCAATTGTTTTAAAAAAATGCAACGTTATAATAGTGAGGCATTATTTGAAAATTTGAAAAGAATGAGGATATAGCTCTATTCGTCTTCTTTATGGAAAAATGTTCAAAAATATGAGGACTTTAAAAATGACCATATAAAAATTAATCGATATTAACGTTACGTCGAATCACACCGGCTCGACCGGTCGGGTAATGAATTCTATGTACTATGGTCACTGGCTACCGGAAAGAACGGCCCTTTCAATTTCTTTGCGCTCTTTTCACGCCGAGAACAGACTTCATTCATATTCTAATTGACAAACTGTAAGCTTCGAACGACGTAGAAAACCAGGATGGTATTTTAGAATTATTTAAATTGAAATATCTTCTGAATTACTAACTTTCTGACATACATGGGTTAGTACTTTTTTTATAACAAATGTCCAGCTGTATCGATTGATGTATTAAATACCTCATTCCATTTAAAAAGACCAAGTTCATCTTTATATGACCTTTACGCGTCTACTCACGAAAAAACTATTAACATCAGAATATGCTCCACTCGATACCATTCAAACCTCCTCTAAAACATTTTTTGCTACGAGTAATAATAGAGAATCAAGATGTCAAAATCGGGTGAGACACCCTGTATAATGTGTCACATAGAGATCATTTTTGTGTAACACAATTTACAATTCTGGGAGATATTTTGTTATTAGCCTTTGCTTGGCAGATTCATCTATATTCTGCACTTTGTACTTATACTCTATTATATCTATGGCCCCAAGCACACGATAGATTAGGTTCTTTGAGAATAAATTTCGTTTCTTGCAGCGTATTTTCTTACGGTCATTTGAAAATTGTTGAACTTGAGGTAAACAAGTTTTTACTCATTCGTGACTGCATCCATTCAGATAGATCGCACTTACATTAAAGATAATTTTTTCTCGGGTAAACTGGTCTTGCTACATTTCTGTAGTTTAAGAACGACATTTATTATGCAATAACCAAACACTACATAGAAAAAAACTGTCCGCATTGCAAAACCATATTTGTAGTAATCAGACTGCGTATCTTATGCAAAAAAAAAAAAGTTTAATGTAGGTTAAATGACGTTAATTTCTGTTATATATGTACATAGAAGTAGACGGATTCCTAGATAGAGTAAAGAAACTTCTGTTTGATATTCCAATTTCTGTAATATATTCCCTTGAAATATAACCAGGAAGCTAAAGTTTCGTTACGTAAATTTATCGTGGCAAAGCGATATTCACACATGGAGCGTTAATAATAATTAAATACTCGGAATGAAAACACATATTTTCAAAAACGAATTACACGAATGACATTCATCGAACTATTACCACAGATTCATATAAATCCCTTTTTTTCGGTACTGTACACGGTCTCTCCCAAAAACTTTTTAAATTTAAGTGAAAAAAGCTGTATTCCTTTGCAAGAGTTTCCTTTGCAAACATATACTGTTCACAATAATTACAGATACTCTGGAAATTCCCCTGGTAATTCTTCTGGTGTTTCTATACCACAAACATTTTACGAACATGGTGTATTAAAAAGACTTGTAGAACGGTGGGTAAGAGTAATAGATACTAATGGAAATTATGTCAGTCATTAACTAAATCAGTTTCTCTAGAAACAGTACAGTAGAATTTATTTACAATAAAATGGCACGAACTTTCCGTTCCACCCAAATACATTATAACGTCCACAGAGAATGAATTGAGCACAAAATTCCTACCATTCTTTTCGTATCTAAGTCCACTTTCTATCGTTTTCTTTATTCGAAATTATTTATCTATTACCACAGCGAACAATATCATTGTGTTTTTTTTCTCCCTCGAGATTGAATTTCCACCGTTTTCACGATAATAGGCTCGATTAGGCAGTAGAAACATGTGTCCTCCATCGAGACACAGACAAGAGGGGGTCCACGAGATCATTCGTAGCTCTCCTCGATGACGGAACGACATGCGGTGTCCCCGTGAACAATTGTCGCGGGAACTTTCACGCGTCTAAAAACCAAGACAAGGAAGTGGAACGGGACACGGACCGGGCAGGATTTTGCATTTCAGAGAGGATTCCTTCACTGGGTCACTGGGTTCCCTCCGATCTTAAAGACGTTTTAAACGTAACCAGTTACACGGAGCCTTTCACGTCTTCAGGAGTACACCGTTCGTCGACGTACATCTTCGCCGAACGTGACCCAATATGGCCGGGCCTTGCACAACGGCGCAACGTGAGATGTATGTTCGTGTGTCTTCCGTTCTAAACGCAACCTTTAACACTGTGTTCGAACATCTTATTCCCCAGTTGATTCGACAGATTCGACAAAGTTCATTCCTTCTCCCGAACTTCATTCGTGAAGACTGTTTCGTTGACGTTGATTGCATATCGTGACTCGATAGTAGAACTTTAACCCTTTCATTCACAAATTATACTGTTCAACGACCATCCTGATTTTTAACTTTCAGCAGCCGTTTCTTGTGGATTTTTCTGTTCTGAACAGGAATCTGCAAACGGTTATTCGCCAGCACCCTCAGTTTATGAGAAATTTGATTTTTAAGAAAAACACAATTTTTCAAGTTTGAACATTTCCTGTGGCCAAACAGGAATAGTTATTTGGGTGATTGTTGCGTCACGTTATTTTGTAAACTTTCCCGAATAAAATAGTGTACGTTGTTATTGCATTATGGACATTACACAATTTTAAGAAAAGGACATTTTTGTATTTTTGTCTGTATATATTGCATGACATATAAATGATTTACAAGAACATTTTAACATTTCACAAGCGTTTAATGGCATTTCTCATTTGTTGACATTTGGAAATTTGTTTACTTTTATCAGTTTTGTATAATAATTTACGTTGCGAAGTTATTGTATATAATAAAACCTGCTACACTGGGATCGAAAGGGTTAAAGTATATGAAAATTATTATTTGATCTCGGTGGAAATGCAGATAGATAGAACTCTTGGGAATCGAGTTCGTAGTTACGCAATTCCTCTTAATTCTTTATTCAAGGGGTGATGTAATTGGCGATTGTGAGTTCACGGGCACCGTCCTCGGATAGTAGACAGACTACTTTTCCTCGAATCGTGACTTCAATACAAATTAACTGCAGACTATTCGTAAATTAGGATCGTGAACAATATTATTGTGGGTAATATCGAGATACAACAGCTTACGCTACGATTTCAGATAAATAGCGAATACATAAAGATATTTCTCGACACATTGTTACTGATAAATGACGAATTCAAGGGAATTTGGACAAATCTTCTCTGAACAGATTGAGATATAATAATGTTAATCGATTAACAACTCTTTTTCTATATCTGAATGTAACTAATTTTGTGTAGCTACATAACAAATGATTAATCTTTCACTATCAAGTGAATTGTGATCTACGTCCTATCAACTATGATACCATCGACTACAGTTCCATAAGGCTCGTGGAAAAAGAATTTTTCTTAACCTTTCTTTTTCAATAATTTCATCTTCGACCTTGCCATTTTTTGGAAACAATCATCATTTGAATTTTTTAAGAATATTCTATTAAATTTTCAACTAAAATCGTAATTATTAAAAATTTGCGGGAACCACCTTAATGGGGAAGAAAACAACGAAGAAGAGATTGGTAACCTTGTTCAGGAATCATCGTGAAAACGGCCCGCCTCAGTAAAAGTGCTCCCCGATCAAGATTCGAAACGGTACATGCTGTGAGTGTATTCTTGCCGCGAGAGTATCGGCGGAGAAAGGTGGCGGAACAGACCCAACGAGCCGAATGCTAGACAGAGAGAACAATATGTTCGGAGAAAGAGAGACAGTGGGGGGAGGGGAGGAACGAGGAAGGAAAGCAGGGAAGTTTCGTGGGGCTGTGAAACAGGTTCTCCGCGAAACGAGGTCAATGGCGCGTTTGAGGTCATTACCAATCGTTGGCTGGACCTAACCGGTCCCGTAGTTTCCTCTACGTGTATACAATATATCTATATGTATACAGTATCTCGATTGGACAGCATAGGAAATCGCCATCCTGTGTAGCGACTCACGTTTCCTCCTCGATGCTGCTAGGTCAGCCAGGTAACAACGCGAGGACGTAAAACAACTCTATTCGAGATTACTCGATTATCCGTCGAAATTTATGGAACTTTTAAATTGTCGAACGTACGAAGCAAAATTATGCCGATTTTTTTTAGATTTTAGTGGAGGTGAAATTTTTGGAAACCGTCCTTGCCACACGTTCTGATTACCCATATTGTCCACTTTCTGTTTCGTCGAGTTCGATCAGCTAGACTTCGAAAAGACTTGTATATGGGACGATATGTTAATTTTATGAAGAGGATTCGTACGACACTTAAGATTTAAATGTTACATTTAAAATACAGTAAGAAAG